TTGGTGTACGCACAGAACGAGCAGCACAGCCCGACAGTGTCCAATTGAAGGGGATCACCGAGGTCGTTGCCTGGCAAGTCGGTGTTTTCTTGGATCGTCGTGCACGTGGCAGACGGCAAGACGAGTTTGGCCGAGCGGGAGCCAAGAAAGTACACTCGGTTGGCTGGTTTCGTTTTCAGATAGCATAGACCAGACGTGCCAACCTTTTCCCACGTGTACACCGTGCACCCTGGCGTGTTGACGCAGTCGGCGCAGCAATTACCGGCACTCGCACGTTTGGTTTGTTTGATGTCGTTGCCATCGTAGTCAGTGTTTTCTTCGATGGCCGAGCAGGTGGTTTGGGCGGATGCCGTCAAGAGAAACCCCACCAAGACAACGGCGACGAGAGTTACGATCGCGGCACACGTCATGGTCGTTGACAACTTGGGAAGTGTACGTCCACGCTGGATTGCGATCCTGGCGAAACGTCCCAAGATATTGGGCTATCTTGACCAGTTATACACTCGAGCGAATCATTCGAGTGAAGCTAATTTGTCTCTCGACCCGTTTAGCTCTTTGTCTGCATACAAATGCACAATCAGTTTCCGTAAATCGTGTTAAGACAAAATATACTAGTGCAGAAAAATCCACTCGAGGATGCCAATCACATGCGTGTCATGTTGGAGCCCAGGACACGACTGTTGAGAGACAAGCCCTCGACTGCACAATCACCAAACTGCTCTGACCGCGCGAGCTGTTCAACATGGACAGTGGATTCCTAGTGTTCGCACGCGCTTTGTGATCAGCGACTTCTCGGAGTCTCCGTGCCTGCCTGGATCGTGCACCACGAGCCATCGGATGCAAAATGAAACGGTGTATCCAGAGAAAGATCTCGTCGAACTGAGTAGAATGAGCTTGTCAAACACCTGCCTTTGGCGTCGAAGTGCATGCACATGTATCACACAAACTCGCCAAGAATACCCACCTTGTTCCATCCTCGGCGCCTGCTCACTCCTGGATACAATTCGGACCTAGCAATTGCTGCTCTCCTCGATGCGTGATGGACCGTCATACGTCGTGCTCAAACATCATCCTGCTAGCCGTTCCAACACTGCACATGGACGACATGATGTTGTGCGCAAATGTAGCTACCACCTAGTGTTCACGAGAAATTTGGTAGGGAATAGCAACCCGCGCCGCTCAGCGATGTACAAGTAGGTGCTGACGTAGGAATTCAGGTTGTCCACATGTATAGACATGCCGCAGACCGAGTACGGTTGCTTCAGCACATTTCGTCAGCGAAGGACCAACGAACCGAGTGTCGAGTTGAAAAGTCTAGTGATGCGTTATTGCAAGGTCCTAAGTCTATCTATTCATTCGACCGTATCGTTTCGAATCACTTCGTCTAGAATGCGATCCAGTTCGAGCAAACGCTGGCGCTGTCGCTGGACTTGTTGCACCACACTCGTGGCTTCGACTTCCATGACTTCATCCAGGATTTCGTCGACCAGGTTTTCCATGTCATTGTCCGCCACAAGTGCGTTGGCTTCGTCGTCCAACAAGGAGTCCGTGCTGGGGGTGTCATCGTTCGTCGTTCCCGGAAGCCGTGACACTGGCTCTGGGGCGCGGGCCTCGTCCGGTTCTGTAGGCAGAGCTTCAAGCATCGATGACCCAGGACGTGCTACTGAGGTTTGTTTTGGTGTGGATTGCACGTCGTCCGTGGGTAGCTGAAAGCGGCATGTTGGGCACACATTGTGTTCCTGCAGCCACGGTAACCCACAGGTGGAATGGAAGGTATGGTGGCACGGGAGGTTGATGACAAGGTCCGAAGCAGCAAAGTCGGAAAGGCAAATGGGGCAGTCCGAGTTGCAAGTATCACTTGATGGGAGCTGCGACCACCAGTGGTCTTGGAGCGTGTTGAGGAAGGTCGAACTAGTTTTCGGGGAGGTTGAGTGTGTGCCGCCATACATGTTGTCGAGGCCCAAGTTCATGCTGGCCATGAAGAGGTCGTGGAGGGCGTTGGACAGTCCATTTTCCGCTTCAAGTACCGATGCTAGCGCTTGGTGAAGCATCGAGTTAAGCATCTCTTCATGGGTTGTCATGTTGTTGAAGTGCACAAACAGCATCGCAGGTGCCGTGGGCGGCCGTGGCAGTACGACTGACAGTCGAGGCGCACCGCGAAGAAGCGGTGATACAGACGGCCGTTGCCCCAAGCCATCGCTTGACATGGTCGCAGACTGTAAAGTGCGTGGGCAGAGCGGGGCACCGCATCCCTCAGCACGTTGAAAGTCCCCAATTGACAAGGTTGAATGGCTCTGAAAATACATCCTCGCACGTGATTGGCTAGCGGACGATCTTCGCCAGACATGGCGCCTCTGATTGGCCAGGTTTTGCCTCAGACTCAACCGTCAACTACCGCCGTCGACAACGGCACGCCATCAACGCGCCAGATGCCAGGAGACATGCGATGATTGAAATCTTATAGCGTGTTGACGACGCCATACGCTACGAGCAGCTGACCGACTCACCGTATCGACGCCTATCGAATGCCGTTCGTGGTGTGGTAAGTATGTTGTACTCGCTTCCGTGAAGCACTTGCGGTGGTCGCATAAGTCGGGGTGTGGCTGGAGCGCTTGATTGTAGGAGCTGCAGTGACCTTCTCGTTTAGCTGCTTGGATTTCGACTCGCGTACTTGCATGCGCAAAGATTGATACAATTCTTCAATGATGTCATCGGAATTGGCAGGCGCATCAGGCTCTTCAGGAGGATGCTTCATTGGCGATGCGTTCTTGTTGACTTGTGAGTCACGTAAAGGCATAGAATGTGATGGTCTTACGGGAAGAACCACTGGAATTGACGTGCAATGCCGTGTAGCCGGCTGGACCCGGCCTCTGTTGGTCGAGCTCACCATGACAGGTGCTCCTTTGTCGTGGAACGACGACACGAGCGCCAGGTCGTCCCATATAAATGCCTGTGCGAGCATCACCAGCCCTTCTATGTTCGCCACGGATGTCTTTTCATGTAAGAATTGCATAAACTTGTTCAGGGTTGCCGCTTCGCCCGCCAGTGTGATGTCGCCACAAACCTTGTCGACCTTCATGGAAACCACTGCATCTTGCACTGTGGCAGTGGCAGAGTCAACAAGGTGCACGAGGCTGTCGCGGCACTGGGAAAGTTTCGCCGCGACGTCGTGGAGATTCTTGGCCATGACGTTCATGAATGGATAGGTTATGTAGTGCCCGTTGTGTGCCTTCAAGCAAACGACATACTAGACGCCTTGTTTAGTAATAGTACTAGTTATTTCACAGTCTCGACATGCCGCCCTAGATGAAGGCAAGCCACACAAACGCCAGTCGATGCGCACACGATCCACGACAGCAATGACCATGGCGCTTGTACAGCTCGACAGTTGGTGTCAATGGCTTCGTTTTACTGATGTCCGCTGTCTGAGGATCCCTCTGTGGCCACAACGAGAGTCTCCGAGCGATCCGCTTTCTCGCATGCAGAGTCGGTGCTCTTCTGACCAAGAACGACACGAGATCGATGCAGGGGAAATGCCCATCCCACGCAAACAAAGCTTTCATAAGGTACACGCCGTTCAGATGAACGGCGACAACATCTCGTGGACTCCCGGCAAGCGCTGCCGCAAGCGCTACAAAGCCTCCACGACCACTGGAGTCGCAGCTTTGTCAGGCTATTCACAATACCCTTCACGTTCGTTAACCAATTCGTGCCCACACTCTGCTTACCTCCTCTCCCTTTTCCGTGGACGCGGTATTTCAATACCGAGGACAGAGTCCAACGGGTGGATGCTGTGCGAGGAGGGCTTTCAGCCGTCGACGGCTGGCGGCCACTCGTCGATAGAACGCCTTTGTCAGGGACACGTGTCATGTATTATCTCATAAACTCACGATACGCAACCTGGCCGCCGCCCCTACGCTTTGACGGCCCGACGGGCTAGAATGCGGCGGACGTAATCGGGGTCCACCTTGATCGAGTAAAGTTCCATCGCTTTTGCCGACAGCCACTCGACATCGGTGTTGTCTCCACCGCGATCGACGATGCGGTCGATGGCTTCTCGCTTCGACTTTGGCATGGTCCCGACAGTCAACATTGCTTCATTGTCGGGAAGTACGCGGAGCGAACTGCGTCGAGTTAGCTGTGGAGATGCTCGTGCCTTCATGGGGCTCTCCACAGGCTGGCAACGTCCTGCGACCATGGCTCGATTCTTCTTGGCAAATGGAGGTACATCCATCGAAGTCGTTGCATCTACATTCTTGACGTCAGGTCGAACGATGTCTGGTAATCCTCGCTTCTTGGACGGAATGTCGCGAACTTTGAAAACAACAGGTCCACTTGATGGAGATGGAGCGATGATGGCAACTGGCGGACGCACGTTAGGTGGCGTTGGATCCAAGGCGGGAACGTGATCCGTGGGTTTCGTAGCGACGATGCGATCTTGCAGCACGGCTGCCGAGGCTGCGGTCGAAGCCTCCTTCGCGTACACCACAATGTTGTTCGCTTGTTGGATGAAGTTGCTCACCATGTCGCGGTCGTTCCACACAAACGCTTGCGCTAACGCGACCAACCCGTCGACATGGCGCACGTCCAACTCGTCGCAGATAAACCGGACAAACTTGTTCAGCGTTACGATCTCGATGTCCACCGTGCCGTCTTGTATGGAACGCTGTGCCAACGCATTCAACGTCGACGACGTGTCCTTGACGGCGGACGCGATGTCATCAAAAAGGCGATGTGTGGCAAGGACGACGGCTTCGCGGCACGACGCGACCTTCTCCACTACTTCATCCGTCAGGTCGCTGGCCACCATGCCCCAAACGTCGAAAATCTCGAAATGGTGTGAATTACAAAGAACAGTGCAATGTTTGCGAGTTTCTCCAAGGAACAACGACACTAGGACCAGCAGCGCGCCGCGGCAGCCGTCGTCAGCACGCGGACTGGCCAAACGATGACGTCGAACGAAGACCTGGATGAGGGGTGAGTGCTCGTGCGTCCATGAGCAGCGAGGCGGGGGACGGTACACTGTGAGGGATGCATGTGGTTGTGGTGTCTGCGAAATGTGCGCATGTCCGAAGCATTGGCTACAACCCGTGGGTAGTTCCGAAGGTAGCTGATTTGTGCGAATCGCCTTGCAATGGACACGCCATCGCGTCAGCACGAACTACTGATCGGTCGCGGCGGCCAACACGGAAAACCATGAGGCTCCGTTGGACGCCAAGCTCGCGGCCGAGCACACTATGACGTGCGGCGCCATGCCACAATTGCTTTGTCACAGCGAAGCAACCAACGATGTCGCGAGGCTCACGCACCGGCGACGCACTGTGGCGTTGATCTCGTCAGAGCGTGTCAAATCCAACGCCGTGCAACGCGTATCGTTGTGATCGTCTCATGCCCTTCTTGCGAGATGTACACACTCTTCGTCAAAGGCTGGAATTGCCATCTACTTCTGGAAAACATCGTCGCCAGGACCATCCTGCGCAGTGGAAGGGGCACGTGTTCGTGTCTACTGCATGCAGGGCGTTGCCCCCGCAAGCCGTCAAGGAGCAGGGGAAGGGGGCATCCCGTTCAATCGAGTGGGGCACGGGTTACCTTGGGGCAAGCAGGTCGCGGCGGGCATGACGATGGCCCCGTCGTCCGGGCCATTCAGTCGGTGAAGCTCGATTTTTGCGTCGAGCCACCACCGAATTGCATTACACCATCTAGAATGCATGTCATGTTCGAACGCCGAGGGAAGAATGCAGGTCGTTCTCCACGGAGTTGGTACAAGATCGAACAACCGAGGACATCCCCCACGTTTTGAAAATGGCTGTCGAGCCCACCCGCGTCGTTGTATGAAGCGGAAGTGGCGTGCAATATCGCTGCAGGGATGGGCTTCGCGGCCCATTCGCGACGTTGGCTCGAAGGGCAGCGGGGGAGGGTGCCCAGACCAGACGCTGGACCTGGAATGTATGTGTCTCCCGACCTACATTCTGCCACGGGGTGCCGCTTCCAAGGGGGCTTGTCGGAAAGGTCACTTGTCATTTTGCCCACGATGCGAGACATCAAGGCAGTCCAGTACAGCACGTTTGCCACGACTGCCGCCGACGACGGCGTGGCGCCGCCGTTGGTCCACCCCTTGGACAACGCAGGGTTGCTTTCCAAGTTGGTGTTCTCATGGGCGGGGCCGTTAGTCGCCCTTGGCAACGAGAGGCAGCTTGCACTCAAGGACATGTGGTCGCTGCAGCCCGCAAACAAAGTCGCGAAAATCTCCAGCACGTTCAAGGTCGCGTACAACGCCAAGGGCAAGAGCGTGCTCGGGGGGTTCTTCTCCATGTACTGGGTCCAATTCTGGTGCCTCGGTGCGATGCAACTGTTTTCCGTCGTCGCGAATCTGTACGGGCCGGGGTACGTTCTCGGCGAGATCATCTCGATCGTCCAAGCCCCGTCGTTTGACACAACGTACGCGCTCCAGTTGATCGGGTCGTTGCTCGCGATCCAAATCGCCAACGTGTTTGTGACGGCGCACATGAACTTCCTCGACTCGGTCGTGTCGCTCCAGTTCATGGCAGCCATTCGTTCGATGTTGTTTGAAAAGGCGATGAACTTGAATGCGGCGTCCCGCAAGGTCAAGTCGACGGGAGAGATCACAAACCTCGTGTCCACGGACGCGGCGCGCGTGATGGAGTTTGGCTTGAACGCGCATCAGTTTTGGATTGTCCCGATTCAAGTCGGATGCGTGCTCTACTTGCTGTACAATTTGGTCGGGTGGTCAATCTTTGTCGGGTTCGGAGTCGTGTTTGCGATTGTCGTCGTCAACGCGATCGTGGCCGTGCTGCTCGGCTCGACGCAAAAGGAGTTCTCGACCCTCAAGGACCTTCGCATGAAGCTCGTGAACGAGCTGTTTGGGTCGATTCAAGTCGTCAAGTTCAACGCGTGGGAAGAAAAGTTCCTGGCGAGTGTCCGCGACCTGCGTGCCACCGAAGTGAACGCGATCTGGAAGTTCATGCGGTACCTCGTGTTCCTCCTGACGTTCCTGCGAGGCGCGCCCACGCTCGTGACGATTTCGGTCTTTGCCACGTTTACGCTGTGGATGCGCCAGACGCTGACCATCACGATTGTGTTTTCGACGCTGGCGCTCTTTACAGCGCTGCAGGACGCGATCATGACGTTGCCGATGGTCATCTTGAACCTCGTGCAAGCTCTCGTGTCGGCAAAACGCATTGACGAGTTTCTGCATCTCGACGAACGCGACGACGCTGTGGTCATGACGCCGCGCACCGCCCGCGCTGCCGCAGACATCTACGCCTCCGACCGTGCGGTTGTCGCGATCGAGAGCGGTCACTTTGGCTGGGACGATCACACCCCGTTCTTCAAAAACATCAACTTGAAAGTGCGTCAAGGGGAGTTTGTCGTTGTTCATGGCGCCGTCGGCGCGGGCAAGTCGTCGCTGTGCTCGATTCTGCTCGGCGAAATGCACAAAACTGGCGGCACCGTCTTTGTCGGAGGCGACGTGGCGTACTTTAGCCAGCAGCCGTGGATCCAGCACACCACCGTGCGCGAAAACATTCTGTTTGGCCGACCGTATGACCGCGTCAAGTACCAGGCGGTGGTCGACGCGTGTGCTTTGACCGCCGACATGGCGTCGTTTCCGGCAGGGGACCGTGCGGAAATCGGCCCCAAGGGTCTCAACTTGTCCGGGGGCCAGAAGGCCCGCATCAGTTTGGCTCGGGCGTGTTACAGCGACGCCGACATTTACATTTTGGACTCGCCGCTCTCGGCCGTGGACGCGATTGTGGCCAAGGAGATCTTCTCCAAGTGTTTCCTGGGCTTGCTCAAGCACAAGACAGTGATACTGGTCACGCACAGCCCTGAAATCATCGAGTCTGGGGACGTGGACCGTCTGATTTTGATCCAGGACGGCCAGTTGGTTGAACGCGCCACTTCAGGAACGGCGGCGCAAGCATCCAGTGAGCCACCACTCGTCGCTCCGTTGAGACCGACAAAGGCATACTGGGACGACGAATCCAACTTGCCAGTGTATCTGCCTGTGCACCGCGAGTACGACATGCTGCTGACTCCGTCGGCAACAACCCCGTACAACTTTCACGCATCCGAGATGCTGTTCACGCAAAAGGTCACGTTGTCGGGCACCCACACGTTCGACGACCTCGGGCGCCTTGTCGTGGAAGAGGAATGTCGCGAGGGACGAGTGTCCAAGTCCGTGGCCAATCGGTACTTCAACGCCATGGGCGGGTGGTTGTCAGTAGCAGTCGTAGTTCTGACCAGCGTCGGTGCGCAAGGGGTGCAGTTGGCCACAGACTTGTGGCTAACGCATTGGAGCAACCAAAGCGGGTCCATGGACCCTGGTGCATTTGCGGCCGCGACCGACGCCAACATGATTGTGTACGCCCTCTTGGGGTGTGCCACCTGCGTCGCGTTCGCTGTGCAGATGTCGGCAATGTATGGCTTCGGTCTCGTAGCGTCGCAAAAGCTGTTCGACGACATGCTCACGAATCTCCTTCAAGTGCCCATGCAGTTTTTCGACACCAACCCGATCGGACGCATCCTGAACCGGTTCAGCGACGACGTGATGGCATGCGATATTATGTTGGCCAACACGTTTGTCACAATGGTGGGCATGGTTCTCTTCATCGTGTCGACGGCGGGGACGGCCATTTTCATCATGCAATGGTACGGTCTTGGTGTCCTTCCTCTACTCTACGTGTACGTGCGGCTCGGAGCGTACTACTTGAGTCCTCTTCGCGACCTGAACCGCCTCCAAAAGACGACACGATCTCCCGTGATTACTTTAATCAGCGAAGGCATTGACGGGTCCGTCACGATCCGCGCGTACGGCGACAAGCAACTGCGCAGGTTCTACCGCCTCCAACAGTCCAACGTCGAGACGTTTTGCGCGACCATGTTTGCGCAGACCGCCCTGCGACAATGGTTCACGCTGCGCGTTCAACTCATCAGCTGCGCGATCGTGACCTTGATGCTTCTCACTATTGTCGTCCTCCAAGGCGCCCTCAGCCACGGGTTTGTCGGACTTCTCGTCACGTACGGCTTGACCTTGCCGTCCAGCTTGGAAAACATGGTGTCGATCTGGGCACGGATCGAGACGGACATGATTGCCCCCGAGCGCATCTGTGACTACATTGCAATTGCCCCGGAAGGGGCCCGTCGAAACCAA